GACCCCCCCCCCCCCCCCCAACTTAATTGGAGAGAAGCATGACAAAACAGTTCGGCCTGTCCGATACATCTGTCGCCGATAAGATCAAAGATATCGGTAACGGTTATGCATGGCTGCTTAAGTTGGGGTTTGGGAGTCTATTGCATTCTTTTGTCTTTAATAAAAGTGTTATTTCTTTTGTTTTTTCATAGATCAAGCTCGTCGTAGGACCAGTATGGTCAGTGCCTCTCCGAGGTTTTCAGCAGGACGAAAACGCCTTCTGTGAGCCGTTTGCATCTTGCAAGGACTCACGGTCGGCCTTCTTACAAGCCTGGAAAAGATACGCCGGACGGACCGTGGCTGAGAATAGATCTTCTAACGGTGTGTACTAGGTCTTATGTTATGATTCCCAGACATCATTATGTTAGGATTCCCAGACATCATTATGTTAGGATTCCCAGACACACATGTACGCACGCACACGCACACACACACACACATACACACACACACAAACAAACACGCGCACACATACACATGCACACTGACTCATGAACACGCACGCTGACTCATATACACACACACCTACACACACACACACACAAACACAGACATACACACACAGACAAACACAGACATACACACACATACAAACGCTAACACACTCAGAAACACACTCAAACACGCAAACGGAAAATATACACACAGTCATGGACGAATACACTCACACACATTGAAGCGTGATTTGATAATGACAGAAGTTGTACTGTTCATATTCACAGGTGGGACATCCAGTCCGAAAGAGTCAGAGGGGGACAATGATGTCATCAAGCGGCATCTTGTTGGTAAGTTCGGTTAAATGTTATCAATTTGCAATCGTGGAAATTTTACACAAGTCAGGCGGTAATTACTTTCATATCAGTAGGCATTGGATTTGAATATTGATTCTGAAAGACGGAGTTTATTTATGGTACGGCATGTACACAAGTATGTATCATCTTCAAATCTGCACACTGTAATGCTCTGTTGACTAACTGGACCATATATTTTATGTTGCTCTTAGGGGAGTACATGATCCCCGTGGCCAAAATGGTGGCGCCCAGCTGGAAGAGACTGTGTCGTCATCCAGACTTAGGCCATGTGGACACTCTGGCGGCCAGGTTCAAGAGCTGCCCGGACAGGCCCTACACCATCCTGGCCGTCCATGTCCACGGGTTGGCGCCGGAGATGTTCAACAGGAGGAACCTCCATCAGTACTCCTATGAGGTGATTGGAGGGAACCACACCCGCCTGGCCCTGCAGAAGCTCCACAGTGAGGACCCTGATGAGGCCAAATACACAACCCACATGGCCAGGGTCTACTGCGACTTGCCGGACAGTCTGGCCAAGAAGATTGGGATGGAGCACAATAACATACACTTTTCCTTGCCTTCCACTGTTGCTGACAACCTATTTAGTTTCAGGGCCGCTGCGTATGCAGAGGCCGGCTACACGGACGAGGCTCACCTCACCACCGTGGAGCCGCCCTGCACTAAAGAGAAGGAGTCGCAGTGGAAAGATGGTCTGTGTACCATGCTGGGGATAGTCGGCGTGAGTGTTATCTTATCATAAGTTATGATAAGCTATAACTATGTTATAAAAGTGATGTATGGTTACGTGTCCGGAGTATCACGACTTGGTTCCGGTATAAGTTTATTAATGTATCTTCGTACATTTACAGACGGAGACTACGTCCAAGAGGAAGAAGCTCACCAACCTGTACGGAGTCGAAATCCGCCTTGCCATGTCACCATGCAAGGTGTGGAACAAGCTTACCGAGTTTGTCAAGAAGTGGCAAGAAGGAGGGATAAAAAAGCAGCCAAAACAGGGGAGGCAGCTGAAAGCCTGCCACCTCAGGTTCCTGGACAAAAGGAACGATGACAACAAGATAGCCGTGCTCCAGCAGCTCATAGACGGGGAGCTGGAGTACGGCTTTGACAAGAAGGTACATGTAGTTAACGTCTGATTTGAAATTCTTATGAACTCAAAAGTGTACCATGGCATGTATTATGCCTGGGATCCATGGTCTAGAAAGGCATTGAGATGCATGTTACTTCGAGGCTTAATTATGTCGCGTTCTGATATTTCTTAATTTGTGATGCAGATGTGCGTATTCCCAACACGCGTGTAATCTTTGTATCAGTACATTCTAACGTGAATTCTGCACTTGTGTATTCTAGAAGACACAGGAGAAAGACCAACCCGGCAAGGCTGGCGTAAAAGCCCCTGTGGCTGGACCCAGCAATGCACAGGATACCGGTGAGCCGCTGAATGGAGAAGAAAAGGTTAGGACTATCTTTACGTTAAATAGTATAGTATTGTACATGTATGGCACCATAGTATCGAATGGCGTATCGTATTACCTGGATGTATAACCTTCATCGAAGTATTACACATAGCTTAGCGTTGGCTAGAAAAGTTACCAGTGTTTTATCGAGCTGAATATGTACAATCTCACCCAATTTTGTCGCTGTACTATGTCATGAATTGGCTTTTAATTGCATTAGGAATTTCGGTATTGAGCGAGATAGGGGCTCATTTATGACGGACATGCCACGATGTTCTGCACCCTAATCGCAGTAGTTTCGGGGGGGGGGGGTGCCAGTGTTAAAGCAGATGCTATTGCGCTTTATGGATTATGGAGGGGGTTGCGCGATGCCTGTAGCTTAAAGGGCCCAAGGGAATCGTTTAAGATTGTCCACCTTGAACTTGCGGGAGTACTAAGTACAGCAAAGCAGTTGTGATAATACTGTACATTACGAAAAAAACAAACTTCTTGTCCTAATACAGGAGAGCCACGGCGTCGAGCTGAGAGGAAAGGACGAGGACTTGAAGGCAGAAAGGGCGACAAACAGGAAGCTGAAGGAGGTACGCGTTGGACATAAACCGATAAAATTTGACCTTTTTCCTTGTGCGGTTTTATTGTACGCAAGCGTATATACGGGGCTTTGTAACAGTTGTGCCTGATTTGTCGCAAGAAACATATGTCTCGCAGGTGATTATGTAACGGTTTTAACCTTTATAGTTTTTTTTTCTTGCTGTAGGAAATCAAGAAGCTCCAGAAAGGCAAAAGTGCGGTAAGTTTTTCTCACTTTTAATCTTGCTTTCTTCTGGGGCCGCGACTTCGACTGGACTGCTCTCTGTAATAGGCCAAGCGCAGAAAGGTCCCCGTGTGGTCGCTCTGTGAGCACCATTCTTGCTATAACCTGACTCCTCTGAATGTTTTGAACTGGTGTAGACTTGTAGTTGCGCGACATAACTTAGATTGTGATGAGACAGAACTCTGAGAAAGGTTTCTTATGTACATATGACTTACAAGAAAATTGTTTAAACGTGGTTTGGATTTTTTTGATTTCAAACAATTACAACTTGGTGAGGATACATCCTCAAGTAAAGATTAAATAATTCATCATGCTTTATTAAACAGCAGTTATGATCATCGCTTTAATCTTCTGTTCCATAACTATGATTGATACCCCATGTCCTTTGACTTTTCATAGGCCGAGGAAAAGCTAAAAGCAGTAGAAGCGGCTTTGGAGGAAGAAAAAGCCAAGTCCCAGGTCCTCGAAAAGAGTTTGCAAGACGAACAAGAAGTTTCAAGGGGATTGCTGTTTTCCTTGGAGCAGGCAAAGGTAACTTTTTTCTTGGCAAATAATGGTTAGTACGTTTTTTACGCGAGCAGGGCACGTGCACAGTGGTTTTATCATTTCACAAAGACTCTAACTTTGTATGTTGTCTTTGTTGACAGGATAACGATGGCTCAGCACGGCCAAGCAAGATCGATCCCGGCAGGTGAGAAAAAGGACAATACACAGTATACAATGGTTGAAAAAAAAATCATATACTCATTACTCATGCAAGACAAATTGAAATTCTTACGAACATTCTTGCGTTGTCTTGCATGTTAAGTGATTTCATTGGAAACTGTCATGGCGACTGTAGCAGACATTGTTGTAGTTCTAATACTTTAAGCGTATAACACTTTGCTGCCTTACAAGAGCTGTTTTCTCATTATTTTAGAAACAAGCGACAAGGTGGTACAGACGTTGGTGATGGCGGTGATGCTAATCAGGTATGTCAATTCGGTTTGCATGTATCAGTCAAACTTTATATTTTTTTGGTTGTTGGCAAGTAAGCTGTGACAACTAGCATATTTCTAAGAAGAAACCAAGTATCATAACCATGAGACTGTAGACAAGCTGCACTCTTGTTTTTAATTTGTTTAGTTTTTAATTTTTGTATCATTTATTTTCAGGCACCCCGTGCGAAGTCAAGGCGGATCGCCAGCATGAAGGTTGGCCGAACTTCTTGTTTTGATGTTAGTGTTGACGTTATCTTTATTTTTAATTTCGGGCTTTAAACGTTTTCAGCATACATAACATGGTAGAGCATTGAAAAAGACCACTTGAGAAACTGGTGGGATATAAATAACAGACTGGGTGTCCAAAATCAGTTGCGGCGCGGTATTAATGGACTTAGATATTGATCTGGCTTTACTACCTTGAAGTCCGTGGGGCAATTAAATTGAATTGCAAGTTTTGTTACATATTACGTACACTCGACGAATGTCCATGATTATGAGCAATAGTCAATTGATACATCATATTTTAATTCGCTTTTGTTTCCATTGTTTACAGGAGGACCCTTTATATACGGTCGGGGAGTTCGTCGTGGTGTCCGGAAAGGCCAAGAGCGGCGAAGATGTAGAGCCCTGGTTCGGCAAAGTCATCGCCGACGACCCCGCCAAAAAACGCCTTACTGTACGGTGGTATGATAATGTTAATGGGATATACGTGAGGGAGTTGCATAAGGGGTCCGACAGTCCCCTCGAGGACGACATCATAGAGTATAAGAAGATTGTCGCCACTGTAAACATGTCAAAAGACATGACACTGTCCGTAGAAGACATGTGTAAGGCGTTGAACGCCGTAAAACCACAAGTGAAACAGTAGTTTATCATTCCTTTTCTGTCTAATAGTGTGGTCTGCCACTCATTTTAATTTATCTTGTTACAAATGGTGACAAACGAAGGAGTTTGGGTTTTGTTTCATTCGCTCAGTAGTAAACAGATAGTTCGTAGTTAGCACCCAGGGCAAGTTGGCATGTATTGCCCTGTTTTTTTTTTTAGTTTATACAGTAGACATTAATAAGGCTATTTTGTATTCTCTGATGCCTTAGAAGCTGACGTGGTAAAATTCCAATGCTAAAAAAAGGATGTAACGTTATTTATGTTTATGTTTATCTTTAGTTTTCAGATGAACATGCGGTATCAGTGCATGTCCGTACTTTACGGTCAAGGTAATTTCTTACATGCACTATGGCATATCATGTGCTCAATACTTCGCTAATAGCTCACTTCTCACAATCTCTGCTTTAAGTTGAAGTTGGACGAGAGTCGCTTAGTTTATTGCTGACCGAAGTGTGCTTTGTATTGTTTGTATAATCGATTGTATAGCCAAATCTGATCAAACAATGTGCTTTTTCTGGGCTTCAAACTAGCCCTGATCCATGGCACCGAGGCACCGAGTTTATACGCAGTTCATAAGCTAACATTCAATGCTTTAGCCTCTTACAATAGATATCTTTCACTTTTTAGATCAATCATAACCTATCTGTGATCTGTACTCTCTACTGAGTATTCACCAGCAGGTGGCGCTGAAATTCTTAGACATTTCATAGTGCGTTTTTGTTAACATGTTTGTCGGAAGTATTTGTTAAGTTCACCCTGTTTTAAGGCAAGTTTAAAGTTTCATTTGTTAAAATCAAGATTTCCGCTTTGACATGACGTGGATGTTATTCATTGTATCACAACTTTAATGCATATTTTCTCATCTAAGATAAATTCAGCCATTGAAATTAAGTAAGCCGTTTTGAAATTAATGTACGAAAATGTCCACATTCTTGCATACATTGGTACAAGGCTAGAAAATTAAACATTCTAATTCCTGGCATGCATCATGGGGTAAACAATAATCAATTTGAAACGAAACACAAATCTAAGTTTCCTAAAAATCTTGTATATACACCCTCTTCTTTCAGGCTCTAGCCTCCAATGAGGTGATATACCGTAAATTCCCACGGTATAGTCATATTCGCCGCCTTCGCGGAGACCTTCGTACAGCGAATCCATTTCACCGCGAATATGTTAACCGTAAGTGTGCCCCCCTCCCCACATGCATTCACGAAGGACCTCGAGTTCAACCGAAACACAAAGGACACGCGCGATACATAAATTAACGCGGATCAACTTTATTCTTCGAAAAAAAAATGCTGTATACTGATGTTATATAGTATAAGACACCGAATCGCAATTTAACGCTGGCCATGTCAACCACGCACCGCCCGATGCGACATGAAATCTCTGCGTGCAGCGCTGTTGGGACGAGGCTTTTAGCAGCGCTGTTGGGACGAGGCTTTTAGCAGCGCTGATCGGACGAGGCTTTTAGCAGCGCTGTTGGGACGAGGTTTTTAGCAGCGCTGATCGGACGAGGCTTTTAGCAGCGCTGANGAATCACGGGGCCACACAGTCTCTCTGGACAAAGTTAGAATACTGGACACTGAACAGGACTACTTTCTAAGAGGCATTAAGGAGGCTATATATATATTTAATCCCTGTAAATTGTGTGTTGGAATAAAGTTTAACGTTTTACTATCGAAGTGTGCTTTGTATTGTTTGTATAATCGATTGTATAGCCAAATCTGATCAAACAATGTGCTTTTTCTGGGCTTCAAACTAGCCCTGATCCATGGCACCGAGGCACCGAGTTTATACGCAGTTCATAAGCTAACATTCAATGCTTTAGCCTCTTACAATAGATATCTTTCACTTTTTAGATCAATCATAACCTATCTGTGATCTGTACTCTCTACTGAGTATTCACCAGTAGGTGGTGCTGAAATTCTTTAGACATTGCATAGTGCGTTTTTGTTAACATGTTTGTCGGAAGTATTTGTTAAGTTCACCCTGTTTTAAGGCAAGTTTAAAGTTTCATTTGTTAAAATCAAGATTTCCGCTTTGACATGACGTGGATGTTATTCATTGTATCACAACTTTAATGCATATTTTCTCATCTAAGATAAATTCAGCCATTGAAATTAAGTAAGCCGTTTTGAAATTAATGTTCGAAAATGTCCACATTCTTGCATATATTGGCTAGAAAATTAAACATTCTAATTCCTGGCATGCATCATGGGGTAAACAATAATCAATTTAAAATGAAACACAAATCTAAGTTTCCTAAAAAATCTTGTATATACATCCTCTTCTTTCAGGCTCTAGCCTCCAATGAGGTGATATACCGTAAATTCCCACGGTATAGTCATATTCGCCGCCTTCGCGGAGACCTTCGTACCGCGAATCCATTTCACCGCGAATATGTTAACCGTAAGTGTGCCCCCCTCCCCACATGCATTCACGAAGGACCGAAACACAAAGGACACGCGCGATACATGAATTAACGCGGATCAACTTTATTCGAAAAAAATGTTGTATACTGATGTTATATAGTATAAGACACCGAATCGCAATTTAACGCTGGCCATGTCAACCACGCACTGCCCGATGCGACATGAAATCTCTGCGTGCAGCGCTGTTGGGACGAGGCTTTTAGCAGCGCTGTTGGGACGAGGCTTTTAGCAGCGCTGATCGGACGAGGCTTTTAGCAGCGCTGTTGGGACGAGGCTTTTAGCAGCGCTGTTGGGACGAGGCTTTTAGCAGCGCTGATCGGACGAGGCTTTTAGCAGCGCTGTCGGTGAGGAGGGAGGCTTTTAGCAGCGCTGCAGGTGACGACGAGGCTTTTAGCCGCGTTTGTGCCAAGAGATCTAAGCTGGTACAGATTGATTTTTGTTTCCTATTAAAATTTTTAAATGTCTGAAGACCTGAATATTAAAGGCTGAACAGCTTCTCTTTCAACTTTGTTAGCTCTTTGATTTTCAAAATTTCAGACGAAAAAAAGGGAATAAATTGGATTTTCCCTTTTAGATTTGGATTGTGTTCATCCCTTTATCGTCAATCTCTAAATTCTTCACAACGCTGCAAGATATTCGAGCGACCGCTGTGTTACTTGACACCATATAAATGCAACTTATTTCTGCCATATATATACAAGTTATTAGTTAGCAGATTAACCAACTGTCCCCCGCTTTTCACCTAACACTCTCTGGGCGTGACAGCTTACTTGCAATTAATAGTATTAGTAATGACACAAACGATAAGAAGACTTACTTGGAGAGCTTGTCGGCACTGTTTTGTCCGACATGTCCGCACTTTGCAGCGAAATGCAGCCAAATGAGCATGCGTTGTGAACTCTTGACACCTCATCAATTTAGTAATTATCATATGGAATGTGTAGTGGCGTCCTGTAATTAATTAGTCACACCTGATCTATCAGCATCTTTTTTGCATATCACTACTCTGTCTTTCCCAACATGGACACGCAAGAAGTTCTCTGGTCATGATAATTTGCAAGGTCATGACCGAAGGCTAACAGAACTCCAAAAATACAAGAACAACAATAATAAACATCATTTTTTTTCTTCAGGACCACCGATTCCATTCCGGAAGTGTAACGTTGAAGGTCGGTTGCCTCACGAGAAAGAAAAGCAAAGTTACAGTATACCATTTCCTGGCACTTTACAGCATATTGCTGCTCGTCGAGCAAGGCCTTCTCAAATCCTTTTACGTCACCCATTTTAAGAAGACCTGCCCTCTGTGATCTGCAGTCGCCTCTCCATATGACAACTTCAAACTGTAAAAATTAGAGACAGATCAGCATCATTTCCTCGAACCCTACTCCCTACAGAAGATACAGGTGTGTCTATAATTATGGTTAACCATATAGGGTCTTTCTTTCTTTCCTTCCTTCCTTCCTTCTTTCTTTCCTTCCTTCTTTCTTTCCTTCATTGTGCTAATTTCTATATGCAGTGAATAGGTCTTTTTTGCTTATTACAACGAGCCATAAAATGATAATTGGTTCTGCACAACACCTTACTTAGATGTGACATACATCATCTGACTACATGAACCATCCAAAAAGAAATTGTATATGGTAAAGTGATAAAGATGTAGGACGATTGACAAAGTGCACCTCTTGTTCACAACAGTGGGGAGACCTCTTCTTGTCATCTTCAAGAACACTCTAGGTCTCCACAGGCGGCAGACCTGGACGATTTTGCCGTCATTGTCGGAACAAGACATGCCTGGGCCAACCCGCTCCGCAAGAGCGCCTGTGTTTTTCTTGACCGTCTTTCTCTCGCTGTTACCCATCTTCAAGGTTTTGTCAAGTCTTTGTTTGTGCATTTTGGGTGAGAACCAGGGACGATTGGAAGTCCTTGCCGTCGCACCTCGCATTTGGCTGGCTATCGGTGACCATGGATAGCAACATCTTTTTCCCGTGTCATGTTCAAACAATGGTCAGTCTGCCTGCGTCCCTGTCTTCTGAACTTTGCCTTGGTTAGATTATTGCAACTTTCGTTCTGTCGACACTGTCTGGCTGTCCTTTTAGTCCCGCCTCTTGACTTCCGCCAGAATTGTGCATGTGAGGTAGCAATATAACATACACAATGACTGAGACTTGTATTATTATCTTGTCATTAATAGACATCTGTCAATAGCATCGTATTTTTTGCAACATGAAATCATGACATAATGACTCACCAGCTGGCTCTTCCTGGATGATAATCGATGTTGACCACTTACTGGTTGATGTTGATAACTGGCTCGTCTTGGATGTCATTATTAATTATTATCCCTGTAGAGACAAAGGTCCTAGAACGCATGGTTCTATTTGTTAGAAAACATACAGTGACTTCATCGTATTACATGTATAAGAAGTCCGACACCACATGTTTTTCAAAGATATACAGCGCAAAGGAAAGCGTAAAACAGATGATGCTGAATAAGCTGCTACGCGAATTGTGCAGCATGGCTTTTTCTCCAATACCTCCCTCTCTGCACTCACTTCATGGAGGATGTCAACTATACGTCGTGCTTGGAAAAAGGGTTTAATTTCCGTTTTCCATGTCAGTACTTTTATTTTCATGCGATATCCCTTCTTGTAGTTGTTTTATGATTGTCCTCTTGTGCGACATGCACATTTGCTGCCTGTT